TGCGTACCTTCATGGCCATCAGGAAGCTCTCTCCTTCGATATAGGCAAAGCTGAGGTTGACGCATCCCGGATAACCACCCGGATCACCGTTGCGATAGACATGGTCTACTTGAGACGTAATTCCATCAATGAGTCTCTTGGACAAGGCAGATATGCGGGTGTGGTCATACTGGAAAGCGATGTCAGCAATTCGGTCATTCAACACAACGGAGCATAACGGTCCTCAGTACCCCAGCACGCAAATATCATTGCCCGGTCGACCGGGGGTCACCAGGCTCCGACAGTGTACCATTGTAGGTTGCATGCAAGATATCATCGCCGGGGGAGGGGAAATTGGAACAACTTACATCCATTTCCTTTGCTGCTATCCTACATGCCTCCCCCAGCCCCACTACGAGGGTGCTCGGTAACGTGCCACTTCTCAGTCCTCGCTCTTGACCTCCTCCGCTGAGGATGGGCTCCAGTCGCACTCGAGGACGTCGTCTAACGTAGGCGGCACCGACACCTTTGGGACCGTAGATTTTGTGCCCAGAAATGCTCATGAGATCGATGTTCATAGCGTTGACGTCAAGAGGGATCTTTCCGACGGCTTGAGCTGCATCAGTGTGGAAGTGTACACCACGATGCTTGCGGACGATCCGCCCAATCTCAGCAAGCGGCTGAATGACACCTGTCTCGTTGTTGACAGCCATGACAGAGATCAAGCTTGTATCGGGGCGAATGGAGGACTCCAGTAGATCGAGGTCAATTAAGCCGTTTTGTTTAACCGGAAGATATGTCACGTCGAACCCCTCTTCTGACAGCTTCCGGCAGGAGTCCAAAACACATTTATGTTCCTGAATTTTGTACTAATGAGATGGATGCAGCCACATAGCCTGTGAACGTACGGTCTGGACAGTAATGATATGCCTTTTCTTCTCTTTGTGAAAACGAGCGATGCCCTTCACAATCATATTATTGCTTTCTGTTGCCCCAGAGGTGAAAACAATATCCTTTTCATCCGCCCTAATGAGATCGGCCACATGCTGTGGTTGTGCAAACAAGACTCTGTCAGCTGCCAACATACGCAATTCCGAGACAGAGGAACATACCCTTCGAGCATCATCCACGGCCTTTTCGGCTTCCCAGCCATACGAATGGGTTCTGCTATGTGGATTTCCGTACAGATCTGTGAAGAAAGGCAGCATTGCATCGAGGACACGGGGGTCCATAGGGGTGGTGGCCTATTCAACACCAGATCAGAGATCATATGGCTTATTGTTCCCGAAAATACACACTTGAGCGTCAAGATAGATAGGGTTCAGCCCCGAAACAGGTGAAGGATGTTGCTGCGGCTGAAGGTTTGGCCTGGATGGTTCTATACAAGCAAAATGAGCGCCATAAATCGTTTTTTATGGGGCTTTGATTCACCTGCGTCATGTTCTAAGCTTTGAAGACGCGACTGAGGGACTTCTACAACGCTTGCTTTAGCTGTCGTCGATGGCTGAGTGAAGGCTCGACGCGGCGACGCGACTGAAGCAAGAGCAGTGATTTTTGGCAATTTTCTGCGTTTTTGAGAACGCATAGCAGCTCGTAGAACGGGGTTTGTAAGCATTTTGGAGGTTTCTGGCGTGGATGCAAAAAGGGACAAGGGTGATGACAGCCCAAGGTGGCTTCGCAGTTCAACGAGACCAATGCCGACCGCGATCTGCAAATAGCTGGAAAACCCAAGTAGACACTGAGATAACCTGGGCTTTCTTTTATTGATTGGACGTGGGCTTGTTGACTATAAAAGCGAGTGGGATAGAGACCAAACACCCCCCATCCCACTTAGCCCTCTCCCCCATCGCGAATTCCAATCCTCAGCGCTCCTAGAGCTCCCCAAGCGCAGTATTAGCAATGATCCAGCTTGCTCAAATGTCTCGTACTCCCTCAGCAGACTTGCAGAGCGCGGCGTCCCCAGCCGAGGACGTGCTCTCATTGTTTGGTGAGCGCCTGGCTGTTCTGCACAAAAGCACCTGGCTTCTTGAGAGAGACTCGCTGACGTGTGTCTCCCAGTTTCTGACCTTGCGCCGTATGCAACAGAGGAAGATCTCCGCAACGTCTTCAGCTTCCCCTTGGACCACCTGCCCGGCGATGCTCTGGGCAGACTTTACATCTATCCTTTCTGCGTTACAGACATCCGTATGGTCAGCAATCCAGGGAATGGTTCCAAGTACGCCTTTGTGCGCTTTCCCTCCATCGCAGAGCGCACCAGAGCCCTCTACATCATGCAGGGCGTGCTTTGCCTTGGGCGTCCAAGTAAGCAATCCCTAGTCTATCCCCCTTCCAGCTGATCTCATCCAACGCAAAGTTCGGCTCTCGCGTGCTCATGCAAAGGAGCGCGTTCGCGACAAGACGGATCTTGTCCTCTTTACAAATAACCGCAACAAGGAGGAACGTCAACGAGACAACATTGTAATCGATCAGTTCAACTCCCAATGGGCCTCCGTCGATCCCAAGAACACTAAGGTCTTTGTGGGGGGCATTTCCCCTCGCGTCCAGCTCCATGAAATCGTGAACCGATTCGGGGCTATCGGCATGCTAACTAATGTACGGGAAAGAACCTCCACACTAACCTGTTGTCTGATCCATTCTTAGGTCAATTTTGGCAAAGGTTGCGCATTCATCTCCTACGCTCGCAAGTCGGACGCCACAGTCGCAATCGAGAGGCTTGATGGCATGGTTATGGACGGAAAGTCTCTCCGAGTCACTTGGAGTCGTAGTAGTGGTACTTTTACTCCATTCGTCTTCTCTATATCATGCTAACCGTCGCCTAGTCCAACCCTTGCTCCAGCAGCAACGCACCCTAGTCACGGCTGGCTCTCCTCCCAGTTCACAAGGGAGCACACCCGAGACGAGGTATGCAACATATACTCCAAGTTCTCCAAGATCGCCTGTCACCCCCATCACGCCATTTGGACCGCCCTTGTTCCCACAAGTCGCCGGTGCTACTGCAAAGATTGGTTTCCGCCCTCAATCTCGAAGTGGTTCCATCTCTTCAAAGGCCAGTATGACGCCTCTTCCCAGTCTCTATCCCGTTCATGAGGTCGAGGAGGGTAACTCAGGTTCCCTTCTTGAATATGCCCCTGCATTGGCCCGGCGCCGAACAGTAGCTAACGTAGCTCGACACCGAGCGGGATTACTCGACCAGGAAGAATTCTCGTTTAAAGGCATCGTGAATAGGCCCGTCGAACCGGCTCCCGCAGATGTACTCGCTCAAGGAATGGGTAGACGTGTCTCTCTTCCAGGCAACGCGCTCTGAAAGCGAGAACGCATACCATTCCCCAAATGTAAAGTACCTTGTAGGATACTTTGTAGTCCACGATTGGCCTCCTGGTCTCGCGCAAGCGTGGTATGGTTGGTCAAATGGCGTACGGACAGTTCTTCATTCTCAGTCTCTTTCATTCATTTGTACCACTACATTTCGTGACCTTTCTTTCATCGTTGCCTCCTCCGCACGCTCGCCCTGTTCAAGAAAGCATGGCTTTGAGCGGCACCTCCCCAATTGTATTGTTACAGCAGTCCTATCATCCCATAGAGAAACGATACAATAGAATGGCTGGATGTGGCTTATAACCATTTGCATGCTTGTGAGATGGATATCAATAGGTAACATAGGATGAAACGAGAATACAAGGGCTAACGTCGAGCAATAAATAGGCTGTCCGTCCGGTAAGCATAGTGAACAGTAGATATCAACTATCCGAGAGTTCTTAAGACGCCTTCCGTCAGTTCTATGACCTTGTGAATGTCCGGCCGCGCAGCGGGGTCCACCACCATGCATGCATCAATGAGATCTCTCAGCCCTTGTGAATAGGCACTGGCCGCTGCAGCGGGATGCTTGTATTGACCATTCATCGCTGCCATTGCGATAGAGCCGCCAGCTTGCTCCGCGGTTTCGAATGGGGAACGATTATAGGCGAGTGCATAGAGTGTGCAGCCCAGGGACTGTGATTTCACGAGATGCGTGTCAAAAAAGGAATGAAAAGATGCGAGAGAAGGAACCGACCCAGATATCGACTTTCTCGTCCAAGATTACTCCAGTCTTCACATCGAAGAGCTCAGGAGCACGGAATGTCATCGTGCTCTGCTCAGCTGCAAGATCCTGTAGATATAATTGAGTAAAAAGGAACGATCAATTGTTGCAGGAGATCATACTTGTTGAACGAGCGCCTCCCCTCGAGTAGTTATGTAGATCCTAGCCATGATTGTGCTTCCAAAGTCCATAAGGATCGGATTTCCCTCGTCAGATAGCATAATATTTCCCGGTTTGATATCCCGATGTGCATATGGGACGTGTTCCTTTTTCATACCTGCTGGTACCGAACCAGGAGCGAGGGCCTCTCCATTTTCATATGTGGCACCACCTTGTGCAGAGCC